ATGCTTAGGAAATTGCTGTAAATTGCATAACCTGATATAAATAGTACATTATATAGCAGTGCCATGAATGGTTTTCTTCAATTAATTTGATATTGCTATAAATTGCACATTGCAATTGCAAATTGTATCTTTAGTCCACGTTAAAACAGTAGAATGGTGAGGTTCTTTCTGAGTTTGACACGTTTACATACCTTCATCATTTTCAGTCCCATGATTCCTTTACTTTCCCCCTTGCCCAATCCCATTTCCCAGCTCTGAAAGTCTTTCCAGTTTTGCCATTTGTCCTTTAATTAATTTTCAGTCTTATCAAATAAGAGAAGCCATACAATAGTTAACTTTCAGAGTTTGACTTATTTTGCTTAATACTACAGTCGCAAGTTCCATTCATTTTCCTGCAAGCATCATGACTTTATTCATCTTTATGGCTGAATAATATTCCATTGTGTATGCAAACTAGATTTTATTTATCTTGTCATCTGTTTAGTCATCTAAGTTGTTCCCATAGCTTAGCTATTATGAATTGTGCCACTATAAATGTGTGTGCATTTATCACTACAGTTACGTTGTCTTTAATTCTTTGGGGAATATACTCAGAAGTACAGCTGGATCACACAGTATTTCTGTTTTTCAGTTTTTGAAAAGTCTCCATACTGATTTGCAGTGTTTATGATAGCTTACATTCCCACCAACCATACAGGAGCCACCACTCCTACCTCCTCACATCTTTGCCAGAATTCATGAGTTTTTGTACTCTTGATGACAAGTCATTCTGGTTGGGATGAAAATGGAATCCCTAATATTTGTATTTGAATTTTCCTAATGAAAAAAAATGCTGAAAATTTTTGATATTCCTATTGGACATTTACCTTCTTTTGAGAAGTACCTATTCAGTTCCTTTGCCCATTCTGTGACAGATTTGTTTTGGGGAGGTTAATTCTTTTGAGTTCTTTATATAATCTACATATTAATCATCTACCAGAAGCTTAACAAAGATTTTCTCGCATTCAGTAGGTTTTAGTTTGTACTTTTACTGTTTCCTTTGCTGTGCAGCTTTTTAGTTTGATGTAATCTTGTTTGTTGGTTCTCAGTAGAATCCCCTTGCTTGTGGACTCCTATCCAGGAAGTCTTTGCTTGTGCCTATGGCTTCAAGAGCTTCCCCTACATTATTTTCTAGCAGTTTTGTAGTTTTTGGTTTTGTATCTAGGTCTTTGGTCCATTTTAATTTGATTTTAGTCCAAGTGAGAGCTAGCCATCCCGGTAACTCTTCTGACTGGAGATGTCTAGTTTTTCCAAAACTCTCTGTTTAAAAGGTCTTTTCTGCTGCATATTATTTTGGACACTTTGTAAAAACAAACAAACAACAAAACCAAAGAGCAGAACAAAACACACACACACGCACGCACGCACACCAAAAACCTATGCAGTCATCTGGTTTGTTCTACATCTCTGCTTTACTCCAATAATGCTTGGTGCCAGTACCATATTGCTTTTGATACTATGTCTTTTTAGTGTAATTTGAAATCCGATACTCTGCTTCTAGCACTGCTCTTTTTGCTCAGGGTGGCTTTGGTTTTTCTAGATCTTTGATTTCATATGAAGTTTAGATTACTTTTTCTAGTTTTGTGAAGCAGATTGTTAAAAATTTTCATAGAGGTTACATTAAATGTGTATTGCTTTGGCGATATGGTAATTTTAACAATATTAGTTCCTTGGATCTATGAACATAATTTGACTTCTCCCTTTCCTATTTGTATTTCTTTTCTTTCTCCTGCTTGCTGTGGTTAATGTTGCAATACTACACTGAAAGGAATACTAAGTCTGCATACCATTGCCTTATTCTAGTTTAAAGACAATTGTTTTACCTTTCCCCATTCAGTATAATGTTGGGTGTGAGGCTGTCATGTGGCCCTTCTCAGTTTGAGGTGTAGTCTTTTTATACCTATTTTCACCACACGTTTTACCATGAAATGATGTTGGATTTTGTAAAAGGCTTTAGGATGATGATAGGATTTTAATCCTTGATTCTGTGTGGTTTATTATGCTTTTTGATTTATACATGTAAAACCATCCCTGGACAGAAACCAACTTGGTCATTTTTTTTTTGTTTTTGTTTTTGTTTTTTTTTCCTTTTGATATGTTGTTGAATTTGTTTGCAACAAGCTTACTGTAGATTTATACAACTATGTTCATTAAGGATACTGGTCTATAGTTTTTCTTTTTTTGTAGAGTCCTCATTTAGTTTAATATATGAGAGAGTAGATATTTAAGCAAATCACTCACTCAAATGTGTTTTGGGAACAGGCAGCCAGGCCTCATCATGCCATGTTATGCAAGCTGCTGAATCGTAGAAGGTATGGTCCGTGCTGACTGTTCTCATGCTCACCATGATTCACAGGAGGCTGGGCAGGTGTGAGGGCAGATTCAACTCCCTGGCCCATTTTTAAATTTAGTTGTTATTTTTCTTTAATAGGAGTTCTTTACAAATTCTGGATAAAATCCTTTTAACACACATACACATGCACACACATAATGCAGATATCTTTTTCTGCTTAATTAAATTGTTTCCTTTTAAAGAAATTCCTGACTATTACAGTCACAAAAATATTGCCCTGCATTCACCTCTAGAAGTCTATGGTTTTATATTTCACATTAGGTTTGTTTCCATTTCAATTAATTTTTGTGTATAAAATGAAAAGATCTATTTTTAAAAATACTGACAAACTCTATCTGCTGAATAGATTAATTTTAGACCTTTCAATGATGCAAACATCCCAGTGCAACATCATGCCATACGTTTGCCATCACTGGACCAGACCAACCTTCTGTAACATGGTAGTACAACCTTGGCTTGCCTTGGCTGCTCTAACTGAAGAGGAATAGTCTTAGGATGCATATACAATATATAATATAGTTAATATATATAAGCAAGAAAACTTCCTTTTATATAGTTTTATTATAACATTAAAAGGAAGGCAACATAAACCTAAGTGGGATATTTACCCTTGCTTTCGTGAAACTACTGCATCAATATGTGGTTTGATAGAAGTGGTTCCCAAGCTTAGTAATTAAGAAAACTTACATAACTGATTAATAACAATAAGCACCTGTCTTCACAGACACACACATGAGGTAGGCTGAAATAACAGCACTGGTAATCACTGTTCCATTGCCAAGTGGCACAAGCACTTGTAATACCTGATACAGAAAGGTGTTGATCACAGTGTGTGGCAGGCATGGGAGGCAGAGTTAGCATGACATGTGCTCTTTGCTCCTTGTCACCTGCACAGTGGGACCCAAGCACTGCAAAATTATCATAAAAATACAAAAAATTACAGTAAACATATCACTTTACCATTTTGTGAGGGTGCATCACAAGCTGTTCGCAGCCACATGTAGCTCTTAAGCCATGATCTGAGGATGCCAGATAAAATTGTTGCACAGCCTTTGTTGAGAATTGGATGTGTTTGTGAATCTGTTTCTAACCTTAATTACACTTTAATTTGGGGAGAACTGGCTCTGTAATTCTTGGAACATGCATCTTTCTCCATTTATCTCTTGCTGCACCCTTCAGCAATGCTATCTTCAGTATAGCAATGTGCGCCTCTTTTATTGGCACATTTTGTAGGTAATTAATGTTTTTTTGATGCTACTGACAATGATTTTTAAAAAACTATTTCTAATTGTCTGTTTTGTGACTGTAAAATATTTTCAAATACTGACCTACTGACTGAATGCACTTAAGAATGCTAAATGTTTGTCTTTTGTACAAGTAGATTATCTATGATCATTACCTATGAGTGACACTACCTTTTCTCTTTCCAATTACTTCTGGCTCTTTACTGTACTGTCTGTGATATCTGGGGATAATGCTGTACAGAAATGAAAGCTCATATCTTTCGCTTCTGAATTTGGGGGGAAGCACTTATTATTGTACCTTTTTTGTAAACAGACTTTATTACATTAAAGTTTCCCTTTTTATTTATTGAAATTCCTTAAAATCATGAATTTTTAAATCAAATTCTTTTCATTGTTGAGATAATTCGAAATTTTTCTTTTTCTTAATGTGAAACACGCATAGATATGTGTAATTTTCATGCATTTCATCTTTGTGTAGTACCTTGTGTCCATGATCATGGGAAATAATCATTCTCTTCTGTCAAGTTTTGCTACTGTATGAGAGTCACTCTGGATTCATAAAATAAATCGTGAATTTAAAAGTTTTTCCTATTTCCTGGCAGCATTTGTTTAAAGTTGGCATTATTATTATTATTATTATTTTATTATTACTATCAATGTGTTTGGAAACATTTGCCAGTGAGGTCAACTAGGATGGTTTTCTTGGAGTGAAAGTTCTTAATCAATGGACTGCATTTTTTTAACAAATACAGGGATTTTGTGTGTGTGTCTGTGTGTATGTCAGTTCTGGAGCAAGGGAAATAGAAATTACTTCTAGCAAAATGTGTATTATACACTTTTGGAAGCAGCCAAGATGAGGCCAAATATCATTTTCAGCTAGTAGTATATTCCTGGAACATAATGTCACCAAAAGTTAGACATAAAATCTATGTCACTTTTCCCCATGCTAAAATCTATTTTAATGAAACTTCAGAGATTCACACAAGAAATCATTGCTGAAAGTAAAGTTTAGTTATGAAGTATTAAAGAGCATATTAAATAATTGCCTCTTCCCAAGTAAAGGAAAGAATACATTTCTGGTTATTTAAATTTTAAATTGCTGGGCAACCCATCTACTGGGATAAAGCAACCATTACTCTACGGGAAGCAGGACGGGGCTCCTGGATCTCTGTCTCTGGTCTAGACTGCTGCCCCTGGGCTCTGGTGCTCCTGGCTGTGGAGCTGGCAGAGCTCTTAGGTCAGCGTAAGTCTTGGTCTCCTTGTCAAGGCCTTTGGAGTCTATCTGGAACGTTTTGTACTCTCAGGTCCCTGGGCAGACTATTTAAAAATGTTTATCTTGAGCCACTAATGTAAAAATGCAAGGATAGAGTTAAAGAAAAAAGTCTTTATTTAGACTATCAATTAGGATCATAATAAATAATGCAGTATACTAATGTAATAACAGATGTTCTCATGCATTCATCACATTTATAAATACACAAGAAAGTTGGCGTAATTACAGGGCTGTTGGAATGAATTTGGAAACGTGTATTTGGCAATACAGAGAAAGCTAACAGTGTCAAGACTATTGAAGAGATTCTCTTTTCTATCATTTAAAAAATAAATACACCCTATATACCTGTGAATAAATGGGAAGCTCCCATACAGTTTCTATGTTTTGTAAACATGCCAGAGTCAAGCCAATTTTTAAAGGAAATGGGCTGATAATTTGTTATTTATTAATGTATCTAATGGAAAGCAGAGTTTAAAAAAGAATAAATTCAATTCTTCTACATTTCAATGTGGAGCTGATATAAGCCAGAATTATTCAAACAACAAAATATTGCCAAATGAAATAAAAGCCAAAAGTGAAAACTGAAAAATAGTGATTTTCATATTTATTATAAAAATGCTACAGTGTTTTGGTGCTTTAAGTATTTGATAAGTAAATGACCAAGTTATCTGACTGCAAAAGATGGATTTTGATTAAAGCTTAATTTTGCTAGTAAAATTCACACCAAGGGCTAAAATAGTGTAACTTTTAAAATAAAGCTTTAAAACAAATAATTTAAATATATCGTAAACACTGAAAAATGTGTTTTTAGTTATTGTTACAGTTAATCAATGACACCACTGTTTAGCTGAATTTAGCCATTTGCTAGTCTGGAATCCCTCTGCACATCTGTTATTACGACCTTATCAGTACTTAGGCAAATCAGTTCAGGGAAGGAGAGCGATCTGTGGTCCAAAGCAATTCAATGTATGGCCATTTGGTCTGGAGACAGCGTTTAATAGGAGTGTCGTCTGTCTGCAGCCTGGGTTCTTCAAAACCCATAATAACTGCAGTTCCTTCTACATACATTACCTGTTGGGGGGGGGAAAGGTATCAAAGTCAAGCAATAATTTTAGCAAATTCTTATGTGAAATATAATTTTTATAGGCTGTCAACTTACTGCATGCTATTTTGTGCGGAGCTTCATATCAAACTTTCTTTGGACAGAAATTATGAGCAAGAATATCTGCTACTAACATGAGAGTGAATTTCAAGGATGAGATGGTGACAAATTTTAATTGCTAGCTGACCAGGTAATTTTTAGAATTCAATAGGATTTTTTAAAAAGTAAATGTAAATCACAAAACACAAGTAGTTTCAGATAAGAAAAAAATTACTTTTCAAACCATGCTATTTATAAGAAATTTTAATGTTAAATTTACATATCACATTTATGCGGTTTCTAGTACTACCATACTTGGCCCTTGGACACACACGCAACCTCATGGAATAGATATCTATAATAGAAGTAGAAATAAGCAGAAATAGAATAATTGCTTTTACATATTCTGAGGGGGGTTTTTTCTCCTTTCAACTTAAAGATTGAATTTTCAAAGCTGAAGACAACTGGCATATCTGTCAGTGACATTGGCTATTACTACACTAGATATTTCTGAAACACAGCTCATGCATGTACTTGTACTACATGAAAAATTATGGGGGGAAAGGGGGATGTCAGCACAGAAGCAAAACACAAGAGGCTGATGGATCAAGCTAATCATATTAGCTATGACATGTAATGATCACACAAAATATAGATGGGCAAATACCAGAAAAAAAAAAACTTATTCTGATTTCTTTAAAAGAAAATAAATATTTATGACATGACATGCCAGAAAACCCCTAATTCCTTACCAAGGGTTCACTGTGTACGGTAAAGTACTCTGTCATTCTTTTTAGTACCAAGGGAAATTCTAAGTAGAATTTAAAATGAATGGACAAAGACTGCCTTCTTACAATGTAAAACTTGTATACATTTGATGGCTGATATGTGATTGTAATTGTGTTCTTCCCACACACAGTAAACTACTTGACTAAGAAGGCAAAAAAAAAAAAAAAAAAAAAAAAAAAACCAGCCTTAAATAAGAATTCCTGTTAAAAAAAAAAAAAATCAGATGGCAGAAGTAGAGCATTTTACTAGGTCAGATAATTTGGTTTCCTAAATCTCCTACTTAAGACAGTTTAAAGACACTGCTGAACGTGAAACACATTGTTCTGCACTTTTATTTTGGCTAATTTTGACGAAATAAATTTACTACTCAAACTACAACTCTCACTTTTCAATTCCTCAAAACAAAAATGCTTTTCTGAAAAGTTGTACATAAGAAATGTAACTCAAGTTTTTACACCTGAGTAAGACAGGGCCTAATTTTCTAAAAAACAAACAACAAAAACAACTTCCATTGCACTCAGCACTAGACAGAAGTGCCTGCTCTCAGGACAATGACCTCCTCCGGTGGCTGCCAGGGGCTGTGGCTTAGGCTCAGTGGTCCTCTTTGTTCTGTTTCCTAGGAGGTCTTAAATTGTACCTTACTATGCGCTTGATCATGTTTCTGGCTCCTTAGTAACTTCCTACCATTTTATTTCTGCAATTTAATGACATACCTGCTTTGCTTTATGTACTCTTCCCTTGCTAATATTGTTTTGAATTCTGATCTTTTTATTAGTTTGCCAGATGCTTGTCACAAGCACGATTTGAAAACTTACTATAGACAGGTAGCGTGGCCAATCAGACAAGGACAGGACTGGGAATCAGGAACTCAGTTCCAACCCCTGCTCTGTCAATGACTTGCTGTGAGACTCTGGGTGAGTCACTTAATCGCCCTGTCTCAGATGCCTCATCTGTAAAATATGGATAATATTTGACTGGCTACCTTGCATTGTGTAAGTGAGTAACTGTTTAGTGACTATAAAGTACCTACTCCAAGCTATGGGAAACTTCAAAGTCTAGATAAAACCTTTATTAACACATATTTATAGCATCCAAGTTTTCTCATAGACAATTTTTTTTTCTCGGCTACACGTACCAATAAATTACATTTTTGTGAAAAAATTTTGAGCTTATAGGACTTATCAATTACATTTTGCTATGAATATCAAAGGAAATTTTAGTCTTTTAGATTTCTTTCAACTTAAAAACATATGTTTAATTTAAATTATAATTATTTTCTGCAAGCATCCTTCAATTCAGGTACTTATGAAACCAGCAATATATATCAAATTAAAGCATATTCCTGTAAAATTAGCTACATGAATATTGTTACTTGAATTAGATGTAAAAATAACAGACACATCATATATATATGATATATATAAAGCTGGTATTTCATCCAGAAATAGTGAAGAGGTGACACAAAGATTCTGCTTTATATGAGGTAAGTACATCTGGAAATGAGTCACTATAGCCCTGTCCATAATCTACAAAGGGAAAGTAATAACTGGGGAAAAAAATACAGGCTGTGAGCCAGACTTCCTGTTTTAATGCTATCTTTGCTACTTCCAGGTTGCTTGACCTACTCTGTAAAATGGGAATATACAGAGATACTTACTTCATAGTATGGTGTGCAACATAGGACAAAACAAAGTACTTAAGCAATTTCAAGTAAATGATCAATAAATCTTCATTAAATTTATTTTATTCTATAAAATTCTCAAGCAGACTCTCCATTACTTTTCTGTATGTTAAGTGGATCAGTGTCAGCTTTCATTGGACTAATCATAAAGGTTGATTTATAGATACACACATGTTCAAGAGTAACAATATGAATGTAGATATAATTGTTTTGTCTGAGTGAATTTATTGCCCCCCAACATGGAGTATCTTCTCTTGCTCAAAATGCAATCTGACCAATTCAAAAATACGTTGTGACAGTAAAGACAGGCTTGGATAATCTCCTTAGATAGCAATTGTATGGGAATGAGTCATTGCTACATACTTGTATATTTATTTCATCAACCCAGTGGAAGATAAGTTACTATGTGAATTATCATACCTTTTCATTATAATTTGATTGCTTCAATCCATTGTAGTGGTAGACAGTAAAAGATTCTGGACCACTGGAGCCCTATTATAAATAAAGTACTATTAAAATTAAAATTTTATCTTTGTATCAGGCAATTTCTAATGAGCAATAAATGTTAAAAGTTTCTTAAACCTTTACCCTCTTTTTGGGAAAGAATTTGGTAAAGCAAGAGACTTAGATGGAATTAACCACCAGAAAACCTAAACCTGAAGTAGCTGCTTCTGCAGAAAAGGCTGGAAAGCAGGGCCCTGCTGACTTTCATTATGAGCTTTTCTGCACTTGTTTATAACTGAGCATGTGTTACTTTAATTTTTTTAAAGGACAACATTTTAAAACACTATTTTCTATAATATATCTCAGTTTTTTCTGTGTCAATAAATTATTACTCTCAATAAATATGAAAGAACAGTAGTATGATTTATACTTAGATTAAATATATATGCACAGTAACTTCCTGTTTATTATACAATACTGAATTAAGATCTGTGTTCCAAAAAGTACCTTTGAATACTGTTAACTTTTTATTAGTGTAAAAAGATGTGAATGATATTCAATAAAGGAAAGACATCCTAAAAACCACTGTCCTACTAAATTGGCAGAAAAACTGATCACATTAGGCTTACTGCTCTAACCTTGATTTTCAACTAGATAAAGACGGAGTGCACCTCTCTGCAGCATTCAGCGTCACTGATGGGCTGGCCCCCTGCAGGTACCTGTGTCCCCGTGATTTTCTTCAGGGCCCAGGGCACTGTCTTGTGTGCCTCTAGCCCTTGTCTTCCTTTCATACCTCATATGGGGATGTACATGTGACACTATCTAGGGCTGGCTTCTTTCATTTCTCTGAGCTACCCTTGCCCATCTTTCTATCTCCCCCCACCCCAATTCAAGCCAGTTGAGGCTGGGTTCCCGTGATTTGCAATTCAGAATCCTAAAATAGTGCAAGACTTAAACTACCTTTTCAGTCTTATCTTCAACTACTCTACTTTCTGAATTCTGAATTCTGTTTTAGATAAACCCATGATTCATTTTCCCATGAAAAGGCCTTTAGTTAGTCTTTTGCACATGCATGATCTTTCTACTCCTCTCTAAAATCCCTCTCCTTCCTCCTTACTTTTAATGCACAGTTTTTCCTGAACACATCAGTTAGCTTCTTGACTAATTTGGAAGTTTTATAAATAAAAGTTGTCTGAATAATTAATTTGAGAACAATATACTATTTGTATCAACTGTATTATTTTGGAAAACTGTTTAAATTTTTAATATTTTTATAAAACTTCTATTTTGTATTCCCAACTAAAGCCCAAGTGCTCTTACATTTGTTTTGTATCCTTTTCAAAATACACAAAGCAGAAAAATTGATAATTTATTTGATGATTATTTTCTTAGCCATAAACATGAGTCAATTCAATTAGCTATTTAGATGAGTAATTTGGATCTGGATTTTTAGAACTATTCTAATGTGAGAAATTTTTATTATGATCAAATATACTTTTCTCTAGCTTCAATAACTAACACTTGGCATGAAATACAGAAACACCAACAAATGGAAGAGTAACACAGTGGTAAAGTGCTGAGACTCAGGTTAGATAGGCCTATGGTGGAGTCCTGGAGCAACTATTTAAGGGTTAGTTCTTTGATCTTGAAGCAACTTTTAAGTTCTCTAATCTTCCTTTCTTCACTGTTATATTGAGGCAAACAATTGTACTCCATAATAGATAGGGCATATAGTGCGTGGTGTGTAGTAGCTGTTTAATAAACGGCAGCTGCTCCTGCAGGTTTCTCATTATAAAGAAAATGCCTTGAAAAGTTTGAGTATTCTCACTACCCCCAATCCCAGCGGTAGTGGCTACCTCGTAACAGAAAAGCGTTCTTCTACTGCATCTACCTGAAGCACCTGTAAAGCTGATGGAAGTGAAGTATGTTATTGGCTGTCCTTCTGACTAGTTTTGCAAATTTATTTCAATTATTCTTGCCTGGTTAAGGAAATGTTTACTGAGTTCCTACTATACTGATCTGTTAGGTGCAAGGCATTATATGAATAATGACCAAAATGAGGGACAGAGATACTATGCATTTGTGACTACACAGATAGAGGCTATCAGGGGTGTAGGCCATGCTAGACAAGATGGGTATTGCAGAAGGCATCTGAGATCTCACAGGATGGACACAGATGGAGATGGGACAGATCACTCTCTAGAGCAGCTGTTCTCAAACTGGGCTTCCCAACAGAGTCATGGCAGTGCTCTGAAGACAGACTGCTAAACCCACCTCCAAACCTCCTGATTCATTAGGTCTGGAGAGAAGCTTAAGAATTTATATTTCTAACAAACTATTGGAAACCACACATTGCTCTAAAGGAAACTAAGAGCAGGATGAAACAGTCTGGGTAAGGACTGGGCGTGAACTACACAGGGGCAATGAACAAGTCAGGTTCAGATGGAGAATATGTTCAGAATAAGAAGAAATAAGCACACTGGAAGAGAGGAACTCAAAGGGAACAAGCAAGATGGTTAAGAAAATCTGTTCTATGCAAAACAGAGGGGAACTAGAACGCTCTTGTACTACCATAGGGAACAGCAGAGTTAAAAGAACTGGTTATGATCTCACATTAAATTTCCTAAGTACTTTTCAAAGTCTTGCCAAAAATAAAAAGCATCTACCAAAGTTTCAAAAAGTCCAATTGCTGATATTGTTATAATCTCAGTTCATTTTTGAATTTTATCTTATTTTATTCAAAATGACAACAATTAGATACAAGCTTAGAAACTATGCATCCTTTTTTTTATAAAGATTGAGCATGATTAATACTGTCTACTCTGATAAAGATTATTTAAATCTAGATATTACATTAATAATATCATGGAATTTAATAACTATATCTTGATGTTTTCTATACTTTTTAAAATGGTTTTCTACATGTAATATTTCTTTTATAGTAGAGGTAGAATGGATTTTGGCATTTCCATTGAAACAATGAACATTAAACTATGCTGCTATCTGATGAAATGACCACAATATATTTAGCTAAACAATTCAGTTCAATGGTAATGTACTTCACTTAGGTAAGAAACAAAGGGAGGAGTAGGATACAGGAATGGCTTGCCACCACTAGACTCAATGGTTTTATGGATTTAAGTATGGGTTTAAATATGGATTCTTAATAACTGAGCTATCAAAGCCATATAGAAAATGTCCCAAGAGCAGTTTCACACAAACGTAAGTTTTCTTCTGTTCAGAAATTCTGCTAGAAATGAGGTTCACTAGTAGGAGTTACCACTACCTACAAGCATTCTTACTATTTTTCCTGTATTTAAAATATTCTAAAAAGATACATACCAGTCTATTTACAAGAGCTACCTAAGAGAATGAACACGGGGAGGGAATGGAGAATCTTTCCATTCTATGTATTTCTGAATTTCATTCTTGTTTTACAAAAGTAATATTATGTATAAATGTTGGCATATGCACCACTCCCTGCTGGCCCTGTACACCCCTCCATCGCCGCTGTGCTGGTGCACACATGCCCTTCAGACTTCTCTGCATAGAAGGGCATTACGAAACAGTGGCTTTTCAATCTCTTATTTGCATGTTAGGATATCTTAAAAACAGGTGATCATCCCAAAACAAGCAATACATGCATCAATTCTGTTACCTGATCAGGAAAAAATTCTTGAAGAAATGGACCCAGTAATATGATTCCTAATCCTTCTGGATCTAATTTATTCTTCATGAGGTTTATACTATGGGAAGAAAAAAGAAAAACAGTAGACAGCAAGGGAGAAAAAAACTTTTTTTTTTCCTTTTATGATTAAATTACTGGTACTATAACACATTTGCTGCCAAAAATCCTAAGAGCTGTTCTTTTTAGATCTTTAATGACAAATACATAGGAATGACATTAAATTTGCCAAAACTTGGTTATTTTTAAACCCATGTAATCTGTTACTATTTAAAATTTAAAATCATGACGATGACTTCAGAATATTGTTCCTTATTAGGTAAAGTAATGTAAAAACCAAGGCTTATAACCCAAGCTTGTAGCCTTCCAAAGGCAAATCCCGTTAGCATCATCATAGGTATGCCAGAACTTATCAGCCAAATGAAACATCCAATTTAAGTTTATTTTAAAGTCGAAGAAGAAAAAGAAGTATGCCAACAGGTAGTGGTATATCAGACTATCTCTTAAAAAACTTACTTTCAAAAACTACACGAGACACAGGCTTAACATCCTTAGCCAGTCTAAGGTGAAGGGAAGGATGACAGTTCCCTTAGTGCTCCAGTTTATCAGCACAGGCCCTCCATCGGCCCAGCACAGCCTGAAGCGGCCAGAGTTCTGACCAGCCTGCCTGAATAAGGACATCAAGCCATCAGTGTTGTTATGTCTGCCTGGAAAGAAGGCCGAGTAAAGCAGACTGCAGTTGAGAGGGTTTTACAAATGAAAATAGTCTTTTCAAAGGTTTTTCTCCATGTTCTTTCCAACTAGAAATGTTACGTGAAACTGAGATTATGCAGCAAGCAAAGCCATGACTTGGGGGATTAAGATCTTAGTTAACCAACTTTCCCCTTCCGTTCCAGTCAAAGATGAGTCTAGACTCCTTCCAAGGCTCACTCAGGGTCTCAAGAGTGGGCAGCAGGGGCGCCAGACACAGTTAGGGTCACAGTATCACCTGCCAGGCAGGACTCTGTCTGGGGACCATTCTCAGAGTTGGTAGGGGGGGAGTCTTGCCCCTTTCCTGGCCTGTACTCAGTCTGGGTGAGCTACCTGGGGTATCTTTCATAAAGGGAGGCTAAGCCATCCTTGTAAGGTGAGCTTTGTATCACTAAAGCTTTCTGAAGGCTGTAGGAGCTCCCACTAGGCAGCCTCATCCTGCCATGTGACACAGTATCAGCAGGGAAAGGCCTGTATGGGCTCGCATGTTCCCACCACCAGGACCTCCTATCTCTAGCTGGAATACTATGTTGAGAGGCAGCACAGGCTTGCGGGTGTGAGCTAGGCCTGGCCCAGGGCTTATATACAGAACAAATGAAAGAAAGTTGTACTACATTTGCTCTACTTATTTAATCTTGCAAATGATCTGGTTTATGGGCTATCACATTTTTAAAAAGTGAGTACGCCAAACTATGAGTAAATAGTTCAGCATAATCTTTCAGCTATTTCTCAAATTACAATCTGAATAAATCAATTGTACTGTGATTTAAGAATCTTATATATTCTGACAAAACAAGAACAATAAAAAAACCTCTTCAGCAAAAACAAAAAAAAAGTGTTTTTCTTTGTCATCATCCAATTTGCAGAATTATTAAAACTATAAAGTTGATTCACTTGTGAGTAACAGCAAAGATGGTTCTCCTTGCAAATCTGATCTGAAGAAACAGCAATTACTAGGTCACAATTTATTGGACTAGTCCAGTTGTTTCTGACTTTTTTTATCTTGTAGCTGAAAATCACTTTTATGTCCAATTACTGAAAATTCAAAAACCCATACCTGAACTCATTTAAAAACAGAATAAGACCAAATTCTAAAAACTGTGTGGTGTTTCACAGTGTTTTTGTTGGATTCACTGTGATCATAAGCTAGTTTGCTGTCAGAAAAAAAAGCTGCAAAAATAAAATTGTGCAGAAAAATTGGATAAGTTAGTACAGATCCTTTATTTTTATTTTCAATAAATTCATGTATCATCTTTAATAAATATTTTCTGACGGATAATAAAGAAATTAAGTTGTCCAGCTGCAGTGATGCACACCTCTAATTCCACCACTATGAGAGGCTGAGGTAGGAAGACTGCAAATTCAAGTCCCTCTGGGCCACTTAGCAAGACCCTATGTCAAACAAAAAGAGCCAGGATGCAGTGCTGTATAAAGAGTGGCTTCAATCTGGAGTATGGCCAAAAGGAGGAAAAAAAAAAAGAAATCCTAAATCAATGGAGGAAGTTACAAAGTAACAGTGTGTGTATGAAACATTACAGTGAAGAATGAAGACAATGTCAAAATATCAAGGTAGTGCTAAGGATCTATGTTCTGTGACATACTAAGGTGATCCCATGCTCAGAACACTTAATTCAATCATCTGGAAATGCTTGGTGTCTTTAGACATCTTTAAGAGGGAAAACTGAATGCCTGCTGGTTACTTAAGCAGCACAACCAGCAATAGTGCATTTATATTACCCAGAACTATCATTAGATATATCAATAGCTGAAAAAAAAAATACATTAAATCTTAAAAAATGAAAGTCTTTGCAGAAAGAAAAACCGTATTTAAAATTAATAGAAAAAGGTATATTTAGTACTTTTTAAAAAGCAAGAAAAAAAGTGCATGGTGGGAAACAACATTCACTGTAAATATCTTAACATCTCTGGTACCAGGGCAGATTAGGCTGATTTCCTCCTATATCTTTATTTTGCATAATTTGCTATTACTTTGTGAATACAGGTTTAGGTTAAAAGTTATAAATATATCTATGTCCTAGATTTAACGAACTCTTTTTCATTTAGCTTACTATTCAGGATCTGAAACAAGGTCCAAAGCTTTCATCACATCTTCCAGAAGTGAATCTGGTATGAATCCATTATCTGGGAAAGAAAAAAAGTCAGAAAAATTGAAATAAAAATTTATTTCACACAATAGTACTTTGCATATCAACAGTACAATGCATATTATTTTTAGGTATTCTCATACTGGTTTTCTTAGATATACAGATAGGCAAAAATTTATTTTCAAGGGAAATTTCACATTAAAAAAATCAATCATATAACTTTTACCACAGAACTGCAATGAAACTTTAAAGTCAAATTACTTCCATAAGCACCTTACAAATCTGTGCTTTTTACCTAAAGGTATAATAACTGAGTACCTGGCACTATTTTGCGTTTTTGTGTTTTGGTCTTGTTTGAGGCAGGGTTTCACTATATCTTTTAGGCTGGCCTTGCACTCACTTCACAGCCCAGGCTAGCCTTGAACTCATGGTGATCTTCTTGCCTCAGATTCCTGAGTGCTGAAATTACAGACATGTATCATCATGCCCTACAAACCATATCTGTTTAAATTCCCATTATGAAATTAAGTGAAAAGAATTTTTTTGTGACAAATTTTGTTACATTACTTATGTCATGAAGTCACATAGTGATCCACTGTTTATTTACATAACTGACAACATAAGAGCAAGAAAAGATCCAACAGCCTTGGGGATTTAAGAAGCCATATATTTAATCAGAAAATATCAAAGTTGAAAGTTGAAATACAGAATGGAATCAAATGTTGATGGTGACTTTTTAAGAAAAGTTTTTTTTTTGGAGGCTGGCTGAGGGAACAGCATTGGCAAGCGGCGCAAACGCTGACTGACACAACGGTATAAGACACACAAAATATCTTACTTTCAAACAAGTAAGTTGTTCATTCCCTTAAATGTACAGTACCCAGGTTCCCGTATCCATTTACTCATTCTTAAATAAGCACCCAACACAATGTCTTTTCAGAGATTACATGGATTAAAAAAATCTTGCCAAGGCAAACAAAATGTGTAGAAGTCCTGGTCCTGTAACTAAATTACAGAATAAAGTGTGCAGTTGCTTGTTCAGGACATGCAATTGTACCCTCTCTCTATCATGAAGGAAATGGAGAAGTTGTATAGTACAAAGGTCTTTCCTGGCCTCAAATATTGTAGGCACTTGAGTTTACCCATTTTGAGACAGATTTGTCTGGACTAAAATGTCATGAATCACTTATGATAATTAAAAACATACAATTTTCTTTGAGGGGTGGTTACCAGGAATTGAACTCAGGACCTTACACTTGCTAGGCAGATGCTATGCCACTGAGCTAAATCCCCAGACCCCAAAATGTGTAATTTTTAAGTAGTAATTCCAATTTATTAAATTCCCATAATTTGAGATAAAGAGATAAAGAATTTGAAGGCCCTTGTGAAAACATTCAAGCTTTGTGAGCTGAATTTTGAGGAGTCTAAAGGTGGAAGAATTACTTATTTTGCTTAGTTAAGTCACAGTTAAAAGTCCATAATCTCCAAATGTAGTACAATCTTTTTTGTCCACCAGCAGTCAAGAGCAATTATTTGAGAAGGTTTTTATGTTTATGGGTTATCATGTGTATCTACCTGATATTACAATGTTCTTTAGGAAGCTCTACAAAACTCCTGTGAGATACAGTGTCTTTCATATTAATTAATTTACTTACATACCAATTCTTCCTGTTATTTTACAAAAATTCTTATATATACTTGAGTACAAATCAAGTATTAAAAAATTTTCCCTGAGAGAGAGAGAGACAGACAGAGAGAAAGAGAGAAATAACTGTCTCAAAAATATAACACTTCACATTAGCCAGATACCTGATTCTTTTTTAGGCTCCAAGCACACTAGTGTTTATTTTCATTTCTTGAGCTAAAATTACTCATAAACCAAACCAAGTAATTAAAGTGATGTATCAAGGTCCTGTTAAAATAAAAATTTTGGTAGTATTCCAAATGAGAAACTAACACTTCAAAAGTGTATTTTTGACTTTATAAGTATGCTTGACATACTTAAACTAGCTCATAACAGCCTAAAGAATCTGAAATGGAGATTACTATAATTACTCACGTAAATGAGAATCAATATCAAATCTTTATTCCACTAAATTCAGAATGACAGTTCAAAGTAAAGTCAAATTTAGAAAGATTAAAAGGTGCTGGTCTATGTCTTTAGCCTTTACAAAAGACACTGGTAGTAGAGAAGGGGACAGAGCACTTGATTTTCTAGCGGAACACTAGAATCCTACTCTAGCTTCTCATAACTACATATATAGCTCTGGGGAAATGACTCATTATTAAAAATTGGTTTTCCTAAGAATAAAACAACAATAAGAATCCCTATCTCCCAGATTTACAGTGAAGTTTAATGAGATGATGGAAGAAAAGCACTTTATAAACAGTGATGTTCCATACAAACACCAGTCACTGTTACTACTGTATACAAATCCCTCTTATAAACCAGGTGTATGTTCCAAGAGGTCAACACTAAGTGATTTCTTTAGAACATGAACAAAATGGCCCCTACAGGCAATGCTATAATAGGTGGCTAGCCTGCTGGAACAAGCCCGTTAACTGAATTCTCAACATGCCTAAGGCATGTGTAACCCTGCTGTTACAGGACCACCCAACTCTCAGAACCATGAGGAATACCCAGTAGGGGAGCTAAGGTGGCATGAGGAGCAAGATAAAGACACAAATGCTCATAGGTTCCAGAACTTGACCTCTCTGGTTCAGTAATCAGCTGTAAGTACTTGTGAGAGGAGGTGTAAAGGACAGTGGTCCCCATACCAGCCTTTACTAAATGGAGACCAGAAATACTCAGAAAACTAATAAGCACTGTTGGTGTATCAGCTGTTCTGAGAAGACTTGATTTGCTTATATCTTGAAACAAAGTATGCTATGTTTGAGAAAAAAACACACTGGTGATGAGCAGATTAACCTGAAAATGACTGAAAAGACTAAAAACCTTATTTCAGCTTCTAATCTGTCTGTTTCTAACAAATAGCTAAACCATTAGCCATGACAGTCAGATGAGAGTGAAATTTATCTGCATGAGAAATCATGAAAAAGGAATGTATTCTGAGGTAGCTGAACAAATTATGCCTGCACTCTTTTTAATAATAATTCAGTTTATAGCCCTGCTATGCTGACATACGTAAAACTTTGTAGATGAAAATCATTTTATTCAATGAATAACTTTCTTTCTCTAGTAGGAACAGAAAATTTTCATATTGTACCTATCATGGACTCAATTTGGAAAAACTGTCACTGTTTAAAATTTGTGATTTAGTATTGGCATTGTAAGAACTCTGTAAATTGGTAAAAGAAGATGAATTGTACAAGCCTGCTGCTTCATGAATGATTCAAATATTTGCAAAAAGCAAATATCCAAACCTACCTATGACAAATACTCCTAATATAAAAAATCTCAAGTCCTGATATCTTTTAATTATCAAGGAGTATTTTTCATCTAGACTTCTAACAAGCATTTTAAAGTTCAGATCTCCTCTATGAATACTCTTTGCTTTGAAGGCAGATCGCTGTCAGCAGGGGTAGAAACACATCACCCTAGAGTACTGAATGAAAGTAGGCATTTATGTTTGTGTGCAGGACTTTGAGCTGGTATGCTCCACTGGAATGAGAGATGTAGAAAAGCTTCGAAAAGGAAGCCAGATGAATCAGGCACATTTAAAAAAAAAAAGGGCAACTAACATGAGTAGATCCTTCTCAGAAGAGTAAGTACACACGGCTAATAAATACATGAAGACATGTTCAACATCTCTGGCCATTAAAAAACACTGAGATCCCATATTACCCCTGAGAGAATGGCCACCACTGAGAACTCAGAATAGAGTCAATACAGGTGAAACAATCGGGAAAAGGAACCCCTCACACTGCTGATGGAAATGTAAACTAGTACAAACACCAGGGAAATTAGGATGGAAATTCCTTAAAAAACTAAAACTAGAAATTCTATTTGACCCAGACATTTCCCTTCTAGGTTTCCTCATGAAAGAATTAAAGATATCATATTATAGTGATACAATGCATACCATGTTTATAGTAGCACAATTAAATCTTGGAAATGACCTGTATTTCCATCAACAGATGAATAAAGAAAATGCAGTGTTTATACACAATGGAGTACTATTCTGTCATAAAAAAGGATAAGTTTGAGTCATTTGTAGGAAAATGGAAATACCTTGAGGCTATAATATGAAGTGAAAAAAATTAGACACAGAAATCTAAAGACTGTGGTTTCTTTTATATGGTAAAACCAAAGCATAAAGAAATTAAAGAACAAAATGAAAGATGAAAAATAGGAAGTCAGGAGATGGAAGTTTCACAAAGGGAACTAATAGAGGGAGGGGGATGAGAAAGAAAGGGAAAGAGAGAAAAAGTATTAAAATGCATCAGGTACAGGTATCAGCTTCCCACAATGAATGTAATTATTATATATTGCAACACGCACTAATAAAAATTTTTAAAAGAGATGACAGAAAATAACATATATATCTTTAACACCACACAAAACCGCTCAACTCGTCTCCTGAAATACAGTGTGTTAAAACAGAAATCAAAATATTTATTGTCATTATATTCTTTAGTTATTCCAATAACCTCTTGCCTCTAGCAACACTGTAATACGTCTACCTTTTTTTGTACTCAGGTTATGTTATAGACTTTTCTGAGCTACAAACTGTTATCTCCTGCATATATTCAGAGATGTAGCACTTTCTCTTCACTTCCACACACCAAATGTGACTTTCCCTCCACAAGGTTTCATAACCTTCCAATTTATGTTCAATTTATTTCCAGTATTTCTTTCAATCTTATTTATATTTTTGTATTTCATTTTATATTAAATGTATTTTGTATTCATTTTTATATTAAATTTCATTTTTATATTAGTTACTGCTTTGAAGCTCATCTTTCATTAGATTTGGTGCTTAGCTTGAAATAAATTTAAAAAATTGGGAGATAGAATGCTTTTCTATCTTTTCCATCAAAACATTGCAAGTAGCAAGAGAATGATTATAAGTAGTTGCTTTCCATGGTATAATTCAGTGTGCTACACGTAGCAATGATTCTCGTTCAAAGTTGGTGCATTATAAGGCTAACATCATTCAAGGTGGGAAATGTGAGTGCGTAAATCCCTTTAACTTCTTATCTAAAGAATAAGAATGGAACACTTCCAAAAGTTTAAAAGGTTATTAATTCTGAGAAAAAAGAATTTTCTTCGTAAAGGAAAAGGCGTAAAAAAAGAAGAAAGGAACACAACTCTAGAGTCACCAAATCAGTACGAGCAACAATTCCCTTGGATAGATGAGGACACGCTTATAAAATATCCACTGACATTAGAATGTTATGTTTCCCGTAACATTATTCATTTGATCTTTATAATGAGTCTAAGAATCATGTACAGCTATTTTCATTTGATAGTTAAGAAAACAGCTTTACAGACCAAAAAAATAACTAGCCTAATATACTGTTTATATGTGATGTGAGCAATAATATATTCCTAGAATCTTCAGGATTCAAATTTTCAGAGAAGAAATGACAGATTCCAAAAAGCTTCAAGACAGAAAAAAACTGTATCTATAAAATTCTGATTCAATTTGAAAGTTCACGAAGTTGTTTCACCTACTCTACAGCTTTGAATTGTGCATGGTAATCTACAACGGAACCTAGGGCATTAATTTTTAAGTTTTATTTGAAAAGTTAGTGAGTTGGCTGTGATAGTCAAGGCATAACTATTCCTTAAGTAAATGAACATAAAGGTGATCAAAACAACTCAGGTGACAGTAAAGAGGCATTTAAAATATGAAATGTCTTAAACTAAACTTATATATATATGTTTAGTTTATATATATACATTAAGTGTACACACACACACACACGAATTGTTCATAAAGTGAATTGAACTTACCCAAATTACACTTTGGTAGAGTAAATAACAAGTTCGAAACAGAATGATAAAGTTGATATACTTCCACATCCTTATTCTAGCACAATCACCCAGTAATAACCTAGGTCTGTTTAATACTCATTTAAATAACTAAAGAAAACCATATATTTGAGTCTCAATCCTAATACTTAATACCAAACAGGGAAAAACATTACTTTTTTAAGTTGTTTGAAAATTATCACTTCCGGAGCCCAAGAAACACAAAATCTTTTCATGTCAGGAGCCTAAGAAACACAAAATCTTACACCACAGTGATATGCACATAATGTGTCTTTTTTTTTTTTTTTTTGCTTTCCATTTTAAAATCCCTTTTAAAATCTTCAAAAACTGCAACTTTCACTTCATTCAGCAATTCGTAAGTCTTCTGTATAAAGCTCAACTAAGTATAAACATATTTCAAATACATAAAGACATAAAACAGAGTTAATGCATCTTTTACCTTCTGGATCATAGGTTTGAAAAACTCTCCTAGCTTGTTCTGAAGGAGCTTCAGGAGCAACTAAAGCCATATCCTGAAAAGATAAAATGCCTGCTGTCAAGCAACTACAATATTAAGACATTAAATATAACACACTAGGGTAGAGTGAAGACATGATCACATTTGGAGTCAAAAGACTTAAGAGCTACATTTCTATTGTAGGTCATAAACTCGCTAGGCCTTTATTTGACATGTGAAAATGGGAATACTACCACTGCCACCACAACAAAATGTTATGAGAATTAAATGTGAAACTTCATGACACTTGGAAAATCTTATCATTACACAAATTCTTATAATGAAGTCTGAAAAATGTTTTTTTTTATATATTCTCATTATTGTACAGTTGAGAAATAGAACTTAAAATGTATCGATAGCTTTCAAATACTCAAAAGGGGGATTTAGCTCAGCGGCATAAGCGCTTGCCAGGCAAGCCTGAGGTCATAAGTTCAATTCCCGGTATCTAAATAAATAAATAAATAAAAATACTCAAAAGGATAGTAATGATTTTTATAGCAAAGGATAATAAAGACAATTACACATATTAACACATTTGGAATTTATCACTTTAATAAGCAAGATTTAGCACACCTAACCAAAAATTCATCAATCAAGCTTGTATGTCCAGCATTTTTATTTTTTCTTAAAGGAAACTTCCTCAGGCAGAAAAAAATATTATGATGACTAATTTCTTTATCACAATAAGAACATCACTTTATCAAAATTCAATAGCATAAAAATTCAGTGTTATCTTTGATTCTTCACAAAGCTTTATTACTGCTCTCTAAGCCATTAGAAGTCTATTTGACTTACATGAATATAAAGTCTAGATTCTCTTTGCTTATTTCTGGTCAAAGCTTTAGTCTGAGCCTTTACAATTGCATGCACGCAGGCAATCTGATGCATGCAAAACAGTTTCCAAGTATCCTCTCCTATGATTTTGAAGTACTTTATAAATGTTAAATGAAATTTAAAATGCTTTTCTCCTATTGAAAAATATTTTTGTAAGGAATGTGCTAACTTTTGTCCTAATCAACCATCCTTAGCTTGATTACAGAAGAATGAATAAACTGTAAGAATAGATTAGAATAATGTTTACTGACCACCAGGAACAGCTTCCCAAGGACTTTAATAGCTTATTCAGTTTTTATGATAAAATTCACAAATCAAAACAGGACAACTTATAAAACCCCTTATACATTTTTATGTATTCTAATCAAACAGGTGATAAAGACAATCTGATAATTTACAGTAAATTTCAGTAACGTACAGTTGTTTCTCATTAACTCCCTTTCTTGCACTGTAATGCTATTTTGCTGATAATACATGTCAAGTGACATACACACTTTTGATTTACCTTTCAATGCCTAATTTTGTGACCCAATCTCTTACTGCTATATACTAGACTGTATCTAATCTTTTGGTACTATGCACAAAATTGCATCAAATAAACATGACTATGTAATTTCACACATTTGCCATTGTAGGTTAGATCAACATAGTGCGGCTGCTGGGGTAAAGGAAGACCGTGATTGTAACTTTGGTGGATATTGCCAGATTGAGTTATGCTTGCTTATTTAACCTATGTCAAATGTTATTTCTTAAAAGTCTCTTTTTTTTTTTTTTTCCTAATCCATCACCAAGATAGCCTTTGCTCTCTATCTTTGTCAAATTTAAGATTGCAGTGTCAGCTCTCAGACTCAGGGACCACTTGTTAACATGAGGGTCATTTTTATTCCTTTATCATTGTCAAATCTTAAAAGTAAAACATTTCTAAATAAGTTTTAGCTCCCTAAGTCTTCAGAATCCTACTGTTTTCTTTTTCAATTATCTTTTTAGAATAGATGTTAGGATTTCTGGATAAATATCACAACTAAGGATCTATGATAGAATGACCCATGTAGTAAATTTGTAATACATAGATTTAAAACTCTCATATTTTGCATAGCAAAGTTGAACAAAAATATAGAATTCTACTTAACTGACAATATTTTATAATCCTAAGGCAAAATATTTCAGGTAGAGTATTATAACTTCCATTATTTTTCTTATTACATATAAAAGAAATTATTTGATTAAAAGAAGTAAAACAGAGCTTTCATGTAGTAAGTAGTATAAAGAATAATAGGAAGACAATTCTATTCCTCAGATTTTCCATTTTCAGGATTCTATTTTAAGAGTAATATAGGGTTTAGATTTCATATTCAGTATGTTTTCCCAATCTAACCACACCCCCCCCCACACACACACAAAAACAGAGTCAACCCTATTAGATGGCAAAGACTTCGTGAATTTGAGGTCAAAACTCAATAAATCAAAGAGGAAAATATGTAACTATATTTTCATAATTATTAAAATTTAAGAATTAAGGTGTATTATGTACATGTACTGAATCCTACAGGGAATGTAAGCATTATGTATTGCAAACATGTACAATTTTAAAAAATCTACTAATTGTATTAGTTCTTGGAAAAGAACAACTAATACTCACATGATTAGATCAATTTTACATGTCTGTATCTGGTAATCTAAGCAACGCTTTTGAAGGTAACCATATGCAATATTACAAGCACTATTAAATTCCTATCATCTTGTTTTGAAAACCTGTATTGTTATTTTTTGGGATTGTTGTTGCTATTGTTTGTCTCTTGCTTTTCGCTTCTCTGTGTCTTTTTTTCTCTTAAAAAATTAGAAAAAAAATCATCTTTTAAAATGAAAAATAAAAGATAGATTAACCTTTTGCACCTCCCAAACAACACTGAACTATAATTAAGTAAAAAGATTCTAATGATGTCATTTTAATTATTCAAATTAGTAGGGTTACTTGTCTTTTCTTCATTTCTGGTAGTACCATTTAGGAAAAACGTTCAGTGAGTAGATAAGAGTTTCCGCTGAAACTCTTAGACATCTTCAGTACAAAAACATCTGAATGATAAGAGTTGAATATCTAAGTACTGTTTTAGCAAGCTATTTAAGCTCTGACTTACTATCAATCACTCTCTACATTTACTGGGTGCTTTACAGAGACTATCAAACACTTTCAATTTAACCAGTTTTCTGTTCAACAGGGGTTAATACACAATATGGTTTTTAAAATTATCTAGTCTCACCTTCCTTTACGGGTTGGTAAAGTGGTACTGAAAAGGGCTGTAGGGGCAAGCAGCAATGCGACTATCTGATCACCTACAATCATGAACTGCACACCTTTTCCACATAGCTCTTTCTGTAACGTCAGCACTGATCACCATAAACCTTTTAAAATGTAACATTAGCTACCCTTTTAAACCTGTACTGAATAAAAGTTCTGTGTTGGCTAGATATAAGCAGTTCACTACTCTAAAAGGCCTTTAAAATCCATTCATTATTCTGTTCATCACTGTCAAGAGCTGTCACGAATAATTAACTACCAAGAGGCTTACCAAATGACTTACCCAACTGCAAGAATGACACTGCAGCCTGTGTTTTATAGTTAACAAGTGCCTCTCCAAAAAGTGACAGTTAAATGGCATACAACTTAAATTTTAAGTAAAACTTTATTTAAAATCACTTTATCATCTGTGTTACACTAACTTTTTGACCACCACCTTGATACTTGACTACGGTGAAGCTCTTCCAATTTGGTACTCTACGCCTTTTTGCATTTGTTTCTGTGGAGCTGGAGATCAAACTCAGAGCTGTTTGTCCTAGTACTCATCCTCTGGTACTCAATGTGCAAGCTAGAACATGTTGGTGTCAACTGCCTTGTGCTTTGTTACAGTCTCCAGCCAAAACAATTAGACTGGTACTCATCGTTTTTTGCTACTTATTGTGCCTCTGAGAACCAATTAGGGACAATCACCAAGATACCACTGCACTTATAAAACTGATTTGGAAATTGCTAAGAAATAGATGTCAAGTCAATTATCAGATACTGTCAAAATATGTAATGTCACTTGTGAGTGAGTAAGAGGTGGCCTGTGCACCTCTTACTCCACGCGATGTGCAGCCCCAGGCCATATGCAAAGCAGCCCATCGCTGTGCGGCAGCAATGTGTGCTCTATCCGCAGAGCCTATGGTAGAAACAAAGAAGGGCCATTTGAAGCTCCTCTTCCAGAAAAACAAACCCTAAACATACAAGTAAATATAGGGCAGGAGGGAGAAATGTCTCTGAGGGCTACTCTTACAGCATAATTATTAAAATTAATATTGAGTAGGCTTGCTTTTCTCCCCATTATCAGAACTGTAAAACTCACTTTAATAATCTTTCCACAACCTTTCTCAACCAGTTTTTGCCAAAGGATCGAAAATGTCCACTTTGGTAAAATGACTCTGCCATACATCTAGAAGGCTATCTATCACTTATGGGCCTCCATACTGGGAGGACTGAGACAAATCCTTCAAATCACTTTCTAGGTTTTCTCATTTAGATGAAGAACCTAGTTAAGAAGAGCTGCTAGCATTTTAAGTACTATATTTCTTTAAGAAGACAGCTAACATAAGCCACTACTCTAGGCATAGGAATATCCACATTGTAAGAATAAAACATATTTGGGTTTTATAGATGGTAGAAATTAATATAGATACATACCTGGGTCAAGGGTTAATAACTCTGATAGTTGAAAGCTTGCTCTTTATTTCTAAGTAGAGACAAGATCATCAGAATATGTATCTGGCTGGATACATAGTAATCTTTCGTAGTAGTGGCATTACCGTCCTCAGCTCCTCTCTTCCTTTCAAAGGAAGGATTTAAAGGATTATATAATCCTGTCCACCGCTGAGGTCCTGAAGCATATTTTTTGTGGCAAGGTTTTGCTTATTAGTCCCACTAACATCACATTCAGCCAGAGAAACACAACTGAAAAGCTGGGATGCGACCTCCTAGCAAAAGCTGCAAGTGCTTCCACCTGGCTATTCCAGAAGTCTCACTCTTTTCCCTCAGGCAAGAGAACGGTGCATTCAGAAGGGGCTCACCCCAGACCTCAGAGAGAGGAGTCATGGACCAAGTCTTTTAGATAAGATTAACTTCAATACTTTTGTTGTGTTATTCTTATGTTA